AATTTGCTCGAAAGAACAAAATTCTTTTAAAACTCATTTCCAATAAAGAAAAGTATTCTATTTTTATTTTTATTGTTTAAAAAAAAAAAAAAAAAGAACAATGAAAGAGTATTATTTTACATGCTCTTAGGTGAATTGAACCTCACCATACACTAGGGGCTGGGTATGGTCCGGTTTCATTTGCAATAAAAAACAAACCACCAATTAACTTTGTTAGTTCTATTGTTCTTGGTTAAATTATCAGATTTTGATTTTTAGTAACTATGAACCATTTAGTTAAATTTGTTATTTGTATTGATTTTGGTTAATTTTGTTTAAATAACCATCAGTTTGGTTTCAATTTAAACTGAAAAATTAAAATTAACCAATATTCGGGCCAGAACAGGAGAGGCCCTAAAAAAATTCATAAAGCCATAAATTTAAAAAGAAATATTTAAAAAAAGGCCCAAAAATTTTGGAAAATGGGCGAGAAATGTCTAAAAATCATTAAATTTCCAGAAAAAAAAAAAAAAGTCCAAAGTATTCGATTATACTTGGTCTAGTATTGGGCTTTCGGTTTATGAACCCAATAATAAAAAATCACCCTATTAGAATTCGGTTATACCCAAACCACGAGTAAAGAAAAAAAAAACACAACCCGCAAAACTCATTCGACTGGGATTCAGTTATGGTTTTAATCGATTTCAAATTTTTCTAAATTTTAGCACTAATTAATGATTTATTGCTTTGAGTGGAAGGAGTTCATTTCTCTTTAAGTAACGTTCAAGTTCGAATCCTAGTGAAATTCGATACTATTAAATTCTAAATTAATTAATCATCCTATTAGAATTTGGTTATACCCGAACCACGAGTAAAAAAAATAAAAAACACAACCCGCAAAACTCATTCGATTGGGATTCAGTTATGGTTTTAATCGATTTCAAATTTTTTTAAATTTTAACATAAATGATTTATTGATTTGAGTTGAAAAAATTTATTTTCCTTTTAATAACGTTTCAAGTTCGAGTCTCAATGAGATCCGATATGATTAAATTTAAAATTAATTAAAATTTAATGTGGTAATGGATATAAAAAACGAAATTAAAAAATTGTGATTTCTTGAGTAGACAGGTTCTCGTGGTCTTCCCCCGCAGCCCCTAACATTTTCTTCTTGTACTTATAATCAAAGTGTTTTGAGTTACTTTTACACGTTTCAAAATTAATTTTTTAAAATAATTTTAAAAAGTATAGCTTTTAATTTAATGTATTTAAAAAAATTAATTTTAATTTTTTGAGTTTTATGAGTTGAATTCTAAACTTAATTTATAAATAATACATGTTTATTAATACGTCCAGCCGTTAAAATTTATGCCCTAATCATATAGATAAAATATAATTGCATCTTTAAAAACAAGAAAAATCTCATAATACATTACAAATGTAATATAATTAAAATGAGATAGCTAGGGAAAATTAATGCAAAATATTGCAAACCCTTTCGGTGTGTAAGGAATATTGTTTTAGCGTTAGCATGCTTTTGCTGAACCATTGTTTCTACTTTCTGACTTTTTCGATGTTACTTCAAATCGAAAAAAAAAAAAGAAAAGAAAAAAGAAAGGAATATGAGCTGCCCTTTTAGCCACACTTTTGCTTTCTTAATTAGGAGGTTTAATTTAGTTCGGCCAACTAATTAATGATATTACACACATAGTCACCTCACTCATAGGGCTTGTTTGGTAGCAACACTTTTTCTTTTTTTTTTTAAAATTCTAAAAGGTTCCAAGAATCCGCACTCCAGAATTAGCTTCCCCGATTTGATTCCCAAAATTTTCAAATAAAATCATTTCTCTGGAAACCATTTCCCCAGCCATTGAGCTCGTATTACCTTCCGGACCAAGGTTTGAAGAGTAAAGTTGCAAATAAGCATATAAATGTGGGTCATTTCTCTATTTAAGAATATAAATTTTTTTAATTTCTAAATAGAATTATTAATTTTTGAATTTTTTTTAAATAAAGATATAAACTTAGTAATTTTTATTTTTTTATTTAAAAATTTAATAAATCGTGGTGATAATATGGCTCAAATTAAGATGCAATAAATTCTTAAATAGAAAACTCATAAAATTTATATACTTAATTAATTAAATAAAAAGGTGATAACCTAATCGGAAAATAAAAAAAATTTACACTCTTAAATAAAAAAATTAAAAATTTAATATTCTTATTTGTAACTTTAGTAAAATTTTGGACAACTAAACCCCGAAAGTCAATTTTGAGAATCTGATTTTTGGGCAATTTTTCGAGAAAGGGCACATACCAAACAAACCCATATGAGTAGGCAATATCTAATTAATCTGCGCATGAAAATGTCATTAATTTTCTAGACTTTTCTCTCCCCCTCCACACGTACACAATATATTCTCCTTCGACTTTTCCTCCCATATATATATTCCTTCCTGCTTCATTGCCTTGAAGCCATAGAAATCAATACTGTCCATTGTTTGTTCTTTCTTCATCTCTAAACATGAGCGACGCCAAATATGGTTATGCTTACCCTCCTCCTCAAGGTAAGCACCTATGGAGGACGGTTCTGTGGTTCTGCTACTTCTTTCTTTCAAGTCTTTTTTTCCTTTTTTGAACAAATACAATTTTGGGTAGGGGATGGAAAATTATAACATGATGACACTATGGTTTGAACTTTGATCATTACCAAAATATTCGATACATTGATCAAGTGGTTCATGAAACCGACGCTTCTTTTTTTCAAGTTTATTGTAAATTAATATTGAAGTTTTTATATATGCAGGGACCTATCAAGGACCTCCAGTGATGGCACCTCCACAGTATTATGCACCTCCCCCGCCACCCAAGAGAGAACCTGGTTTCCTTGAGGGATGGTATGTATACATGCCTATAATTTTCTTCTGCACAAACCTAATTATTAACCCAAAATTATTTTAAACACCATAACTAATTATTTATAATTCTTCTATAAGAAAAATTATTTATAATTCTTACAAAAGTATGATGTTAATTATAGGATGATTTTTCAGTAATTAAATCAATTTCCTATTAAGCAAAGGATGTATATCTAATAAATGTTATTTTGTAATCCGTCTCGTATAAACTACCAAAATAGTTAACTATGGACAGAGGATTGGACCCAAGATTTGGGCCTGTCCTGTCCCCTCTCTAAGTCACTTTTCTAACCTAACTAATGAGATATTGTTCTAATAATTAAAAATACAGGCAGTTGTGCAAATCCATGCTACTAAGATTTTGGGGGGAAAAAGAAGAAAACTTAAAAACCCTATCCTGAATCTCTTTGCAGAGAGAAAGATGACTCAGGCTTTGCTCATAATCTATTTCTGGTTCCACAAGTTAACATGGGTCCCTTAGAAATTGATGGATTGTGATTTGTTTTTATGTAAACGAAATTTATCTTATTAATTGTGTGCTTCTCCTGTGGCTCATTGTTTTTGACAATTTGCTTGCAGCCTTGCAGCTTTGTGTTGCTGTTGGCTCTTTGATGAGTGCTGCTGCGACCCAACAATTATATGTGTGGACTAAATCACCTTAGCCACTAAATTATGTTTGTGGTTTAAAGTCATGATGCCATATATGAAAACCGTACCTGTATGTTTTTTCTTTGCTTCGTTTTCACGACTTTAGAGATGAATGACATCAATGCCAATGACTGTATTTTCTACTCTGTCATAGTGTTAATTTTCACAATAACCCTTTTTCAATTCACTTGTATTCATTTTTGTCTTTATAACATGGATCCCAGACATTGGACCCAACCAGTTCCATAAACAATTACAAATTGTCTTGTGTCAGACTGACACAAAGCAAAACTCCGCCTCAAAGAATTGTGAATGTAATCTATACCTCTGTCTTAAAATAATATATATATATATTTTAACTTTTTCTTTAAATTAAATATTTAAGAATAATTTTTGTAATTATTTATATTACCTTAAAAAATAAATAAATAATAAAAAGAAATTTTTTGTGATAAAATAATAATTAAAGTAAAAAGATAACAATAAGATTAAAATAAAAATATATATTTATCTAAAAAAACAATAATTAATTTGGGACAATTTAAAGTGAAAAACATGACAATTATTTTGGGAGTAAAGTGTTTGTTTATTAAAACACTTGTATTGTTTGTGTTTGGGGCAAATACAGTGTGTTTAAACTTTAAACTCTAGTTGGAGATTGCACAATTGAAAGCTTCCTCACCTTGTATTTGAACTTTGAATTGGAAATAACCAACTCATGATGGATAGGCCTACACCGAACAGTTTGGACTTTGGACTCTTTGTCTTTGTAGAGTGTTTGGGCTTGAACTGGCCCAAATATATGCAAAGCACAAGTTTTCCCCTCTGATTGGATTTATTATTTTTCTTTTCACTTTCAATTTTTTTTGGTTAGAAAGAAAGTTTCCAACTTATTTTTTTGGTAATAAGGGAAATTTCTACTTGGTCTTTACTGTAACCCTCAAATTTGTATTGAATTGAAAATTTACTATTTAAAGAAAAAAGCTTCTTTTTTTTGGCACTTCTAATGAATGATTGTTATTTCCACCTATCAATATGTTAAGATCACTTAAATTTGTTAATATTATTAGTAAAAATATAAACTCTATTTAATTTAACCATTACAAATAGTTGATATTTATTACTTAACAAGTTACAATTAGTTTATAAATTAATATTTCTAGACATCATAATCAATTGTTAAAGAAAAAAAAAACTCTATGTAAATAAAGTATCGGTCAAACCAAACAAACCAAATGTGATTTATGTGGTTTTAACACATTGTTATGTGACTATAACTATACCCATTTAATAAACAAGTGGTATACAAAACAACACTTATAAGTAAATTCAATTTTCAGTCCTTAATAAAATAAAATAAGAACTTGTACAAAACTTTGAAGACAACCGAGATGAAAAAGGCATTCCATTGAATTAATCATCAGGATATAAAAAATGGGCTAAATGGCCCAGTAGTTGGGGCCCCATAGTGTGAAATTAAAAGACTCGAATCTTATGTTCGAAGCGAAGGCCCACAAGCTAATAGCCTTGTTAAAAAAAAAAAAAGAAGGCAGCCTTTTAGTATTTTATATGCTGTACATGAACATGAAATATCTGCAAAGAAAATTTCCAAGAAAAACCAGTAATTTATAGGGGAAGAACATTCCATGGGGAAAAGAAAATCTGTTCTCTTCGATCTCATTGAATCATTCAGAAATTGCTGCCTTAGAGCAAGCCAACATTGAGCTATCTATATATCTAAATAAATAGGAGAATCCGAAGAAGTTTCGACACTTACAATTTTGAGACAATTATTTCTATTTCCTAACATACAGTATGTGAACATATGTCATTCAGGCTAGGATAATAAATTTGTGAAAATTTATTTCACAGTAGTTTCTAGAAAAACCGAACTTTAGTTAGAGATGTCAATGTCAAAATGCTTCTATGTCATCTTTAACATGAGGATTAGGATAAATCCTAATCATCCAAATTGTCAAAGACTTTTGAATTGTTGATTGCATTTTAACTGCTCATTCAAACGCTTCTTAAATAGATTTATAATCTATTGTTGCTTCCAACATGTGGCCTAATATAAAAATAACCAATGCTCAATGAGTTTCTTTAGCTTGTGCAAAGGTCGAAGTCAAATTTAGTCTCTAAATTTTTAATTTTAAATAATTTTAGCCTCTAAATTATTTTTTACATTTTTTTTGTTCTTTGATTATGAAAATTATATATAT